CATATTGCTGTTGATCTTGAGTAGAAGTGTTCCCAGATTTCCTGATTAGACAGCAAAATAATATAATACTTTCCATGTTTCAATGTAATGTTAATGATTAAATTATCAAATTTTAATATTTTCTGATAATTCTTATGTATTAGTTAGCACTAGCATGCTACAAATTTCCTGCAAAGTTTACAAAATTGAACCAAGAAATACGCATGGACAAACAGAAACCTAATAATGTTTTTAAAGTGCTGGCAATGAGCAGGGGAGGTCATAAGTGATCATGCAGCAGGGAAAGCTTCTCATTGGTCAAACAAACTGACAATGCAGCAGGTATAGGGGGGTAAAGAAGACACACCTGGGTAAACAGCCACAACTTACCTGCCCAAACTCATTGCCTTGAACATCAGACATTTTGAGAGCACAAAGATGGCGCAGGTTCCTTTCAAATGTAAAATTTCCTCGTAATTATTTCACCTTACTTTCCAGAAGGGCATAAGACCATAAAAAAAAGGAAAAAAAAACGAGGCCATTTGGCCCCTCAAGCCTGCTCCACTATTCATTAGGATCATGTCAGAAGTCACATAACATCAGGTTATAGTCCAACAGGTTGAAGTGACTTCATCCGACATACGAGCAGCGCTCCGAAAGCTTGTGACTTCACCATAAACCTGTTGGACTATAACCTGGTTTCGTGTGACTTCTGACTTTGTCCACCCCAGTCCAACACCGGCACTTCCAAATCACCACTAGGATCATGCCATATTTGAGATTCCTCACCTCCACTTTCTTGTATTTTCCTATAACACTTGATTCCTCAACTGATCAAGAATCTATCTGCCTCAGCCTCAAATACACACAAGGACTCTGCCTCCACAGCTCTCAATTCAATGAGATCTAAAGACACTCAACCCACTGCAAAAAGAAATTCCTCCTCATCTCAGTCTTAAATTTGCACCCCTTCATTCTGAGACTATGCTATTTAGGAAGGACAGAAAACTGAAAAAGTTGGAGCTCTTTCATTAGTGATGGTACAAAAATAATACGGAGGGAAACCTAAGTTCAGGAAGCCAAGATGTGGAAACCATTTGGATAGAAATGACAAATTATAAAGGCAAGAATTCACTTGTGGGAGTTATTGTGAAGACCTCTAACAGTAAATGCATCGTAGGGTGGGGTATAAATTTAACAATTAATGAGAGCTTGTCAGAATGGCCCGGCATCGATCACGGCAGATTTTAATCTTCCTATCAACTGGAAAAGTCAGAAAAGTAGAACTAACCTAAATGAGGAGTTCATAGAACATTTGTGGGATAGTTTCTTAGAATGGCACATTCTGAAGCTGACCAGAGAGCAGGCTATACCATGCCTGGTATTAATCAATGAGATAAGATTAGTTAATGATTAGCAGTGACCATAATATAATTGAATTTTACATCCCAACACCCACTACTTTTAAAACTTTCAACAAGGGGAATTATGAAGACATGAAGGCACAGCTGGCTAAAGTGAATTGGCAAATTAGTTTAAAAGATTGATCAATACTGATGCAGTGACAGACATTTAAAGGGATATTTCAGGCTATACAGAATAGGTACAATGAGTTAAAAAAACATTCCAAGGGTGGAACTTATCATCAGTGGTTAACTTGAAATTTTGATGATAAGATCACACTTAAAGAAAAAAACCATATAATTGTCCAAGGGCAGGTGGCAGATCAAAAGATTGAACGGAATATATGATAAGCTGAAAATTATCAAAAAATAAACAAAGAGGGAAAAAATTAGAATATGAGAAAAAGTTAGCTGAAACATATAAAAGCACACAGTAAGAGTTTCCATAAACATATAAAGGAGAAAAGGATTATTAAAGTGAGCTTTGATCCTATAGAAAGTGAAACTGGAGAATTAATAATAGAAAATAAGGAAATGGTCAACAAATTGAACAGGTATTTTACATCAGCCTTGAGTTAGAGGATACAAATAACATGCCAAAATCAGCGATAGAAATGAATACTTGGTGCATTAAACCTACATTCTGACCTCCTTACAGCTTTTGCTGAGCCTGATTTACCTTTAAAATGATCATTTCAAAATCTGAGTGCATGTGTCTCTATTTTTACATTTTATCTCCTTCTGTCCATAGCCAGAAAGGTTTCACAGATTTCCAAGCACAATCAGTGTTAGGATTTATGAATCGCTGAGACAGAATAACAAAAGTAGATTGCATTGTAAACATATTTTAAATGATATTGCCAGATCCTTTCTGAACAGACAATAGTCAAAACATGTTGAAATGCAAGCAAGTTTATTATGACCAATTCCTGTCATGATTGTGTAATTATGTTATATAATTTGTAAATAAAAAAGGCTAATTTAACTTTTAAAATGGACACATCATCTTACAAGGTGATTCACAGAAAGTACATGACTATGTTGTTAAGACTAGTGTGTTATTTAGCAACAAACCCAACGAGAGGCATTTAGATTAACCTTTGGACAATACATTCAGTCTTCCAAAATATATGTGAATTTAAAGCGCCTGAGAAAAACAGGAGAATGAAAGGACACACACAGGAAATTCCATGATAATGGACTTTGCGTGGTGGACCAATATTTCACTCAAGTTAACTAGCAGTTACCTTAAGCTTTGATCTGTATAAGGCAGACTTTGAGGGAGCAGTTAAACAGAACTCCAAAAAGAACTCAGAGAGTCTGTGTCTCATTTAAAGGGAACACAAGCAGTAAGGTAACCCAGCTGAAGAACTGCTATGAAAACAGAAAGAACTGTGGATGCTGTAAATCAGGAACAAAAGCATAAATTGCTGGAAAAGCTCAGCAGGTCTGGCAGCATCTGTGAAGAAAAAAATCAGAGTTAACATTTCAGGTCTGGTTACCCTTACTCAGAACTGATGGTAGCTGGAAAAACGTCGGATTATATGCAGAAAATAGGGAAGGGGATGGGTTTGAGAGTAACCGATAGGATAGAGCCCGAAGAGAGAGAAGAGCAGTTGAATAGACAAAGGAGTTGATAGTGACCTGGCTAGGAGGGTGAATAGCTGTTAATGGGGACTGTTAGTGACTAACAACAGGGGGTGTGTAATTGCAGGCTATGTGATAACAAGGCCTGGTGTGTGGGGCAGGGGGCTAGGACATGGGAGAGTTTAGGCCCTAAAATTATTGAACTCAATATTGAGTGCAGAGGGCTGCAGGGTCTCCAAGTGGAAAATGAGGTGTTGCGCTTCCAGCTTGTGCTGAGCTTCGCTGGAACACTGCAGCAAGTCAGAGATAGAGACGTTGGCCAGGAACAGGGTGGTGTGTTAAAGTGGCAGGCAACTAGAAGCTCAGGGTCTTTTTTATGGGCAGAACATAGATGTTCTGCAAAGCAGTCACCCAGTCTATGCTTCACTTCTCTACAGGTGTACTGCAGCGGTTCAAGAAGGCAGCTCACCACCACCTTCTCAAGGGTAACTAAGGATGGGCAAGAAATGCTGGCCAGCCAGTGATGCCCACATCCCACAAAATGAATGAATAAAAAAATTTTAAATAATTGTGCAAGAGACTTGACAAGCACTATTTCTTTCCTAGTTATCCAGAATTGGAGCAACCTAGAATAGAATAGTTAATGACAGATTTTAAATAGAATCAAACAAAAGTGTACTGTCTACAAGCAAGTTTCTGCAGTTAGTTACTTTGTTTAGATTTAGGTCCACAATTGAACGAATGAACACACTACGCTCATGGTGGGTGTGGAAAACTACAAAAGAGAAATTTAAAGGAAACTAGTCAAAAAAAAGGACCAAAACTTTGGAAGGTGTCAGAAAGCATCCTAATCTATTAACCCTCTTTGTTAAAGATGAAGGGGAAGGGTGTAAGAAGTGGCATGAAAAAATGAAGGAAAAGAAATAAGTCCAAGGCATGAACATGCAGGGCAATGACAGAGCAGGCTAACATTTGAATCCTGGAATTGTAGGCTGCTGCAATGATTATAATTATCTGTCCACAGCACCATTCTTAAAGTTCTGCATTGCAAAATTCCTGCAAGTTTACTACCATTGTACATGACTATTCTACAATTCAATCTGTTAGTCCTGCGTTGAATGACAGTTGTAGATGTTCCTACTAAAGTGACACAAAGGAATAGATGTAGGCTATCCCTTGAACCCATTCTGCCATTCTCTAACCAAATTTTATTTATCTGCCTTGGTGCCATTTCTCTTACTAGCCTTGTCTAAAACTATGAATGTGAGATTTTAAATTTTAACTTTTCCAATTGATTAAGCTTCCACAATTTGTTGGAAGAGAGCTATAGAATTTCATTCTTTGTTGTGTCAAGTGCTTCCTTATATTAACTCTGATAAAACTGCACAGCTCTCAGTGATTATGTCCCACCAGCACACCCACACCCCACCCATCCACCAGGGGAATTAGTTTCCAGCCAACCTTTTCAATTCTTTAATCTTTATAAACATCTCAATTAGATCACCCCTTAAATTTCTAACGTAGAGTCTCTTCAACTTGCCCTCCTAATTTAACCCTTTTAGGGTGAGAGTTATTCTGATGAATCTGTATGATGCCATTAGCACTGCTCAGAACATGATACTGAGGGTACCATCTAATGAGAACTTTATACAATTGTCAGACAACTTGCATTCCTTTGTATTCCAGAGACAGCATTTTATCTCCCTCTCTCGTGACCTAAACACAGTGGAAACAGTTTGTCACAGTGTTTAAACCGGTAGTATTTCATGGCCTGCAGGTGTGATTGGTGGCATCTTATCAGGTTTGGCCAATCTGGGTGCCAGGCTGAGTGTCATGCTTTCTACAATGATTAGTTGGCATTTGCGGAGCTGAGTGGTGTCACTTGAGTTCACTAGCCTGGCCTCATTTAGAAAATGGGGCTGCCACATGCACTAATTACCCAGCAAAATAAGTTATGTTCACAATTGGTCTGCAGATGCAGATGACAGAACCCTGACAGGTGGGCACAAAGCACCTCTGGTGCAGCCTGACCTGCCTGGCATCCCTCTGTAGATCCTCTTCTTCTTTTTCCAAACACCTCAGATAGGGGAATTCCCATTGAGTAACCCATTGGTTGCAGTAATGGTGCTGGGGGGCAAAAGAAATTGAACAATTGGCACAAAAGCTCATCAGAAGTGCCACAGAAAAAGATACCGAAATGGTCAGAAAATGACTTACATATTAAAGATTTAAGTTACTTACCAGTGCTGCTGGGATAAGCTACCACTGAAATGATTCCCTAATAATTCTAAGTTCCTCTCAATATTCAATTGACACTGACACCAATTTGAGATTGTAATTTCCTACAAGTCTGTTCCTTCACTCTTGAAACCACATCATGCCAATAAGGTCGGTGGATTTCCACTGGGAAGGTATGCATTTTCCACATCTGGATTCTTGATTTAATGTTACTGCTTTTGGAGACCAATGATAGAAAACGTAGACTATTGTTTCCAATCTACGGTAGAGCATCTGGCCTGGTTTCATTATTTGAGGAAGGAGTCTGTTCACTGCTGCAATGCAATTTGTACTGAATTAAAAAGGTAGGGCAAGTCCCCGGTATATGTGAATCAAAGGAGTCTGTCTCTATCGGATAACGAACACCGACAGAATGGCACTAGAATGCCTCCTCCTACAGAAGCTGAAGATGGCAGAGCCACTATTAAAGGCAGCAGAAGTGTTTTGTTTTAATTGCGAGGGGTTCAGAATGAGGTTGCATCAATGTTGTTGGAAGTCTTTGGTTTAGAAGACAAGGAGAGGCAGCTACTCCCAAACTTGCTTCCTCCATCTGAACCAGCTGTCTCCCTGCTTCCGCCTTGTCTTGAACTTACCTGGGGTTGACAGTGTTGCGGTATCAAGGCAAGAAAATTAATCATTTTCCCTATCTTCACCATCTGCTCCCTGAATTTAAAGGTTTGGGCAATTGGCTTCCCTGTTTGGGTGGGTAAAACGGGTCCAGATCCACCATCAGGTCATCCCACTCTACTTCCACTTCTGATTTTGCATATTACAGCTAGAAAAATCCAGCATTCAATTCTCAACTCTTCAAAAACAGCAACCTCTTTGCCTTATTCAATTAAAGATCCTAGTTCATTGACAGCTATTGCAGGAAAAGTCATAAATTAATGGTCAAATTAAATATGGGTATGCAATCATAACTTAGTTGATAAACAATATTTTAAATGAATTATCAAGTTTTTGTTTTAGTATAAACACTATACAGTCAATTCAATAACAGCACTATATAAATATGAGCAAAATATAAATATAGACATGAAAAAAATCTATATAATTGACTACTAAAAGTGTGCACTAATATTGTGACTAGTTTATATTCCTTTCAATAACTTCTATTTTGAAAAATGTATGTTCTACCCAACACTAAATCTGAAGTACATTATTTCAAATAATTAGATCATTTTGAAAAAATCAAAGTAATGCAAATAAATAGTCATCAGTGTAAATTGACATTCATTAACATGTGTCTTTTCCTGTCATCAATTTATACATATTTCTTGCTGTTAGTTTCATCTTCATTGCATAAATAAGCTGATTACCCACCTTTAGATGTTGTAAGCATCTTTCAAATGAAGATAATAGATGTAACAACTTGGATTTGACTCTGAAAATGTTATTTCTGTTGGCATTTATCAAATAAATCTCTAGATTACTGATCTTACCCTGAGGTAGTTGAGAGTGAAGTTAGTCAGCCCCATTCGAGTGATGTTTTTGGACAGTTGTTCCAGCACCTGAGGATCTTGTGCCTGAAAACAGTAGAGAGTTAGAACATGGAGTACCTGATAAAACAAAAGCAAACTGCATGCAAATCAACAATTGCCTTTGCATCTATTTTTACGGCATGGATTAGGAATGTGTCTTTAATTGGTATGGAACAGAATTCTGCACGAGATTTGTGTTACTTATTTTCAAAAGCCAGTTATAGTGCTCCTTTTCACATCCTGAATTATGCAAAGATTCTACTATTCTACGTCTCTCAGCACCATATGAGGTGTTGCATGTATACATTAATCCTTCAGTAGTTGGGATAGAAAGATCAAAAAGATTTGTAAATAATTTTTTTTGATTATCTCAATGCATACATACTGTTTTTCCTAGCAAACTGAGCTATAGATCAATTCATATGTCTCACTGAAGTTTTAGAGTTAGTGTGAAGACACTGTCACACAGCTCCTTCTGGAATGTGTCTTTGCAAAGAAGCTCTGGTGAGAGATGCCATGTTTTTTGTTGAGGATTGTCCCAAGCAGCTTCTTGAAGCAGGACTCTGTGCTCTACAGTCTGTTCCCCAGGATGCACATTGAGAAAACATTGACTATGCCTGGAGGTCCATCAACTTGGTGAAAGGGGTTCTTTAGTAAGGGGTTCTGTTTGAAACTTGTTGGTCATCCAGCAGAATGAGTTGACCTCGACTGAGTGTTGCAGACTGGCATATTCCAAGATCCAGGACTATGTGCTGGGGGACACACAAACGTTTTGGGCAGCTATGACTTCAACAACTGAGGAATTAGCATTCCAATTTCCACTGACTTCAACTTAGAGGACATATTTGAAGAAATCCTGACTTGATATTAGGGCCAGTCGCTCTCATCTCACTTCTGGAATTCAGCTCCTTTATCTATGTTTGGACCAAGGCTATAATGAGATCTGGAACAGGCTAATAGTAAGGATTATTTCATAGAACTAGCAATGACACATTATCTTATTTTGTTAATGACTGAGAGCAAGAGTCAGTCTGGCTTAATGAAAGTGAAATCATACCTGACAAATTTATTAGAATTCTTTGAACAAGTGGAATACATAAATGGGAAGCAGTTGATATATTTGAATTTTCAAAAGATGCTCATTAGGGTACTGCACATAAGGCTACTTAATAAGGACAGAGCCTACAGTGTTTGGAGTAGAATATTAACATGGATAGAGAATTGGGTAACTGTTAAAAGACAGGAGAATTGGGCATTTTCAGAATGGCAACCAGGAACTAATGGTGTGTCGGGGGATCAGTGATGGGGCCATAATTATTTACAGTATGTATTAATGACTTGGATGAGGAAAGTGAATGTGCTGCAACCAAGTTTGTGGATGACACAAAAACAGGTGGCAAGGCAAGTGGTCAAGTTGACACAAAGAGTCTGGAGAGGAATACAGACAGATTAGATATAGACAATGGGGGAACATTTAGCTGATCATTGTATCTGAAGGTTAGGATTACAGCAGAAAACGAAAATGAGAAAATGTAAGAATAATCAACTGGTAGAGACTTCACTGATTTAAGAAAAGAGCTGAGCCAGATACAAAGGAACCAAAGGCTGGTGGATAAAAACAGTAACTGATCAATGAGTTACCTTCAAACAGGATATGGATCAGGCACAGTCAGGGAATATGCCTAAAGAGGAAAAGGCAAGGCAAATAAATCCAGAGTCTCTAGATGATGGCGATACTAAGTTAAAGAAAAGTAAACTCATGACAGATGTCAGGCAGAAAATACATTTGAGAACCAGAAGGGAGGTGGAAAAGCAAAGAAGAAATACAAAGTATTTAATGAATAAAGACTGGCAGCTAACATACAGGGGAATCCCAAAGTCTTCTATACGCACATCAATAAAGAAAGGGTTTAAAATGAGGACCGGGCCAATTAGCAACCAAAAGGTGGAATTACATACGGGGCGGGGGGCATTAAATTAATACTTTGTATCTGTCTTTACCTTCAAGGCAGATGCTGCCCAGGCCATTGTGACTGATCAGTCACAAGAAGGATTTAAAATTGACAAGGAAGAGGTATTGGTTAAGCTATCAATGCTTAAAGTTGATAAGGCACCAGGACTGGATGAGTGATATTGCAGGAAGTGAGAGCAGAAATTCCACAGCCATTGGCAATAATCTTTCAATCTTCCCTAGTCTCAAGGGTGGCACTAGATGACTGGAGAATTACAAACCCAACACCCATGTTCAAAAAATGTTGTAAGGATAAGTCCAGTAAGTACAGACCAGTCACTTTAACTTAGAGACATAATGATGTACAGCACAGCAACAAACCCTTCAGTCCAACGCGTCCATGCCGACCAGATATTCTACATTAATATAGTCCCACTTGCCAGTATTTGGCCCAGATGCTTCTAAACACCTCCTATTCATTAAGCCAACCAAATGCCTTTTCGATGTTCTAATTGTACCAGCCTCCACCACTTCCTCTGGCGGCTCGCTCCATACACACATCACCCTCGGTGTGAAAAGGTTGCCCCTTCGGCCCCTTTTAAATCTTTCCCCTCTCAGCTTAAACCTATATCCTCTAGTTTTGGAATCCTCCACCTTGGTGCTACATAAACTTCTTGAAACAGTTATTTAGTGTAGGACTTGTAGTCCATGAAAAAATTTGGGTCAATTTGGAAGAGTCAGGAAGGACTTATTAAGGAAAACTCATGTCTAACTTGTTTTTTCAAGACATAAGGAAAAGGAATTCTTAAAAAAGTCATTCAAGCAAAATGGACGTCGCTGCCTTGGCTAACATTTATTGCCTATCTCGACTTGCCCTCAAATGGAGTGGCCTTGCTAAGCCATTTCAGAAGGGATCTTGCGGTAGGTCTGGAGTCATATGCAAGTCAGACAAGGTAAGGATAACAGATTTCTGAAGGAAGTAGCTCTAGAAATAGTGGATGCATTGGTGGTCATCCTCCAGGATTCTATAGACTCTGGAACAATCCCTGCAGATTGGAAGGTAGCTAATGTCACTCCAAGATTCAAAAAGGGAGGTAGAGAGAAAACAGGGAATTATAGACTGGTGAACCTAACGTTGGTAGTGGGGAAAATTCTCAAATCCATTGGCAAGATTTTATAGCAGAGCATTTAGAAATCAGTGGCAGGATCAGACAGAGTCAGCATAGATTTATGAAGGGGAAATCATGCTCGACAAATCTGTTGGAATTCTATGAAAATGTAATTAGTACAGTTGACAAGGGAAAGCCAGTTGATGTAGTATATTTGGACTTTCAGAAAGCTTTTGACAAAGTCCCACTTAAGAGATTAATGTGCAAGGTTAAAGCACATGGGTTTGGGGGAAGTGTATTGCGATGAATAGGGAACTGATTAGCAGAGAGGAAACAAAGAGTAGGAATTAATGGGTCCTTTTCAAATTGGCAGGCAGTAACTAGTGGGGTGCCACAGGGATCAGTGCTGGGACCCCAGCTATTCACAATATCTATTAATGATTTGGATGAGGGAACAAAATGTAACATCTCCAAGTTTGCAGATGGTACCAAGTTGGGTGGGAGGGTGAACTGTGATGAGGATGCAGTGATCCTTCAGCATGATCTGGACAGGTTGGGTGAGTGGATAAATCAATGGCAGATGCAGTATAATTTGGATAAATGTGAGGTTATTCACTTCAGAAGTAAAAACAAGGTGGCAGATGACTAGCTGAATGGCTGTAAATTGGGACAGAGGAGTGTGCAGTGGAACCTGGGCCTCCTTGTGTACCAGTCGCTGAAGGTAAATGTGCAGGTGCAGAAGGCACATAAAGAAGGCAAATGGAATGTTGGCCTTCATTGCCAGAGGTTTTGAGTACAGGAGCAGAGATGTGTTGTTACAGTTATACAGGGCCTTGGTGAGACCACCCCTGGAATATTGTGTGCAGTTTTGGTCTCTTTTACTGAGGAAGAATGCTCTTGCTCTCGAGGGAGTGCAGCGAAGGTTTACCAGGCTGATTCCGGGGATAGTGGGCCTGACGTATGAGGAGAGATTGACTAGGTTGGGATTGTTTTTGCTAGAGTTCAGATGAATGAGGGGGGATCTCATAGAGACTTATAAAATTCTAACAGGACTGGACAGGGTAGATGCAGGGAGGATGTTCCTGCTGGTGGGTGTGTCCAGAATCAGGGGTCACAGTCTGAGGATTCGGGGTAGACCATTAAGGACGGAGATGAGGAGACATTTCTTCACCAAAAGAGTGGCGAACCTGTTGAATTCATTACCATAGGAAGTAGTTGATGCCAAAATATTGAATGTATTCAAGACATGACTAGATGTGGCATGTGGGGTGAATGGGATCAAAGTTTATAGGGAGAAAGCTGGATTAGGCAATTGAGTTGGACGATCAGCCATGATCGAAGGGCCGAATGGTCTCCTCCTGGTCCTATCTTCTTTGTTTCTATGTTTCTTTCCCTGAAAGACATTAGCTAACCAGAGGGGTTTTTATATAAATCGACAATGGTTTCATGGATATTGTTAGGCTACCTTTTAATTCCATATTGTATTGATTTCAAATTTCAAACCCATGAACATCAACATTTCAAACCCAGAACAGTCTTGGATTCTAGATAACCAGTCCAGTGATATTACCATCATACCACTGTCTCCACAATGATGGCAATACTGCTACTGTAGCATACATGAACAAAGAATTCAGAAAATTACAGCACAGGAACAGGCCCTTCGGCCCTCCAAGCCTGTACTGATCCAGATCCTCTATCTAAACCTGTTGCCTATTTTCCAAGGATCTGTATCCCTCTGCTCCCTGCCCATTCATGTATCTGTCTAGGTACATCTTAAATGACGCTATCGTGCCCGCCTCTACCACCTCCACTGGCAACGCGTTCCAGGCACCCACCACCCTCTGCGTAAAGAACTTTCCACGCATATCTCCCTTAAACGTTTCCCCTCTCACCTTGAAATCGTGACCCCTAGTAAGTGAGCCCCCCACTCTGGGAAAAAGCTTCTTGCTATCCACCCTGTCTATACCTCTCATGATTTTGTAGACCTCAATCAGGTCACCCCTCAACCTCCGTCTTTCTAATGTAAATAATCCTAATCTACTCAACCTCTCTTCATGGCTAGCCCCCTCCATACCAGGCAACATCCTGGTGAACCTCCTCTGCACCCTCTCCAAAGCATCCACATCCTTTTGGTAATGTGGCGACCAGAACTGTACGCAGTATTCCAAATGTGGTCGAACCAAAGTTCTATACAACCGTAACATGACCTGCCAACTCTTGTACTCTTGAACTTCAAAAAGGTATTTAATACAGTGCCACACAATAGCTTTCTGAGAAGTTATAGCTCAGGAAACAAAAGTCAGTTGCTACATGGCTACTAAATTAGTTGAGGATTAGGAAACAGACAGTAGCTGTTAATGGGAATTTTGTTTGGGCTGAAGGGATGCCTGTAGTGGAGTTAGTGTTGGAGCCATTGCCTCTTTTAATAGAAATAAAAGATGTGGATCTTGGTGGGCAGAAAGCAATTTCATAGTTTGTGGACAATATTAAACTTGGTAACACTGTAAACTGTTAGGACAGTGTAGAATATCAAAAGGATATTGACAAGTTGGTGCACTAGGTGATCAGGTTGCAGATGAATTTCAATGCAGAGAAGTGAGAGGTGATACATTATGGTACAAAGAACGTGCAGAGACAGTATAAATCAAAGGGTACTATTCTACAAGGTATGCAGGAGCAGGGAAACCTGGGTTGCAAGAGCAGAGGGGTTACACTGGACTTATATAGGACACTAGTTAGACTATATACAGTACTGCAGCTGAGGCCTAAGTGCCACAATTTAAGGAAGCTTATGAAGGATGTGAGAGAGTTCAAAAGAGGCTCACATGAGTGGTTTCAGGGTTGAGAAACTCCAGTTATGAGGATAGATTGGAGAAATTGAGGGTTATTTTCCCTTGGAGAGGAGAAGGCTAAGATAAGATGTGTTAAAAATTTTCAAAGTCATGAGCGGACTGAACAGAGCAGATAGGGAGAAACTGTCTTCACTCATAAACGGAATGAGAACCAGAGGGCACAGATTTAAAGAGCTTGGCAAAAGAAGCAAATGCAAGCTGAGAAAAAAATGTTTTCACACAGTGAGTAATTAGGATTACACTGCCTAGACATGTGGAGCAGACAGGTTCAATTCAAAAGGGCATTGGATTATTATTTAAATAGAAACAATGTGCAGGGTTACGGAGAGAAGGCAGGAGAATGACACTATGTCATGATGCTCAGTGAAGTGGTACAGATACAACAGTCTGAACCATAAAATGCAGAACCAGCACAGACTTGACGGGCTGACAGGCCTTCTTTTGCACTGTAACAATTTTTTACTCCTGTGTTTTAAGGTGTCTAAGAAACTGAAAAACAAGTAGAAAGTTGCCAATGACCTCCTTCTCAATTCAGCATGGAGAGTAAATGATGCTAGTCATTGGTAACAGTTAACTGTTGGCTGTTATTGAAATGAATGGGACATCACAGCACTGTGTTAAATTGAGGACTAATAAGCTTGTGAAACCAGCCTTAAATCAAAATAATATGCACTGATTTTATTAATGAAAAGGCAATGAAATTCAAAAAGACAATTTAAATTTTCTCTGAACAACATTGCAACTATTACCCCAATAATTGAGTTAGTTCAGTCACTAGTGTGGAAGAGTGTCTACATCTCAGTGATAAGGAGAAGAAAATCGTGAATACATCATAATGTTCACTAATCCTGCACCTGGTGCATTACCATCCCTGTATATGTGTACATCCACCCACATCCAGATAAATATTTCATATTCTCCTTCCTGAGACTTAAACATCAAATGTGTTGAGTTTATGTTTTATTCTGTAAGTGTCTCGTGTGCACTTCTCATAGATTAACTTATTGATAAGAGTGGTCACTTTTCCATACCGTGCATCTTTTGTGCAAAAAATCAGCTGGCAAAATATTGATGATAAGTATTAGAAAACAAAGAGCAAAATAGATGAAAACTAATAATTTAGTGAGTCCGCAGACTGCACTACTTGGTGGTATCACAAAGATACAATCAAGAAATAATGAACATGAACGCACAAAACATTCTGCTCCTTAGTCAGTTTGCTTAGATTAATATCAATTTTCAATGGTGCAAAACCAAATTCAACTGGAAAGATCCAGCAGAATCCACTGGGGGTGGAAAGGATAGGGGCACGGTGAAGGAATCTCCCCTTGATCATGATTCAGTAATTCATTCTGTTTTTCTTTTTGATAGATGACTATATGCCTTGATTATAGATGCCTTTTCAAGCTGTGAAACAATGTGTTACAGAGAGCACACCAGCTAGTATCCTCCCAGGGAAATGCGATGTGTCAGGCAGATCATTAAATGCTGATGGCAGCAGCATATGGTTAAAAAGCAAAGCTAGAAATCTCTTGTTCAATAGATTTTGCTGTACATCTAATTATTTTAAAAAGATGAAACCTGCAACAATGTTCAGTAATTACTCCATGTACCTTTTCCCTAGTGGTTTGAAAACTTGTACTATTGGGATATGGGCTAGATAGCTACTTAACCTAGTTGCATTCCAAATTATGACAAAAAATTCACTCGGGCTAAAATCTGGCCAACTAGAGGTTTTTATTTCGAGCAGCCAAGATACGTTCTTCACATAATTGTCATGTAGAGAGATGTGCATGAAAAGAAAATTTTGCTTATGGAGATAAATAGCTGGCATACAACATAAAATGTTTCTTAGATGTGAGAACATTAATGCATTCAATTTCATTTTTATTAACAAGTTTGATGTCACAAAGTAAAATATTCCAGGCAAAATTTTTAAAAAATGCAGTAAACTTCCTTATTGAAATTCAAAATAACATGAACAGTAAGTCTTAACATTCTGACAGAGTTTGCAATGTCATCCTTGTTGATGAATTTTATTACTGATGTGTAACAATGTTATTTTTCAGCGGCAATCTTTGCTGTTGGAAGTCCAATTGTTCATTTGTTTGACAAAAGTCATGGAGATCTTTTTGCTCTTTAGCACACTGTGCCATGTCTTTGGTCAGAAATGGGACTTTAGAGGATGTCAAAGGAGTCAGCAAATCCTTCTTTACAAATAGCAGCAACTAACACCAATGATACTTTACAGTGAGCTGTGCAAATCAATGCTTGTGACTGTCATAAGTAAACAACCCTGTTTAACTTGATTCAGATGCTTTTTGAACAAAATCAGCAATATAAAACTTTAAAACTTGTTTATTTAATTTTTTTTAAATCTGTAAATACTGTTTAATATTGACAGAAGGAAGACAGAAAAATACTTGAATTTATACATTTCCTACCATGTATTCAGGATATTCTGGAGCACTTCCCTGCCAGTAGATGACAGTTTGAAAGTGCCATCAATTAGGGCACACTAAGATACACAGTCAACATTGATCAAAGACAGCCTCGATCACAATCGAATTTCGAAGATGGCACATTGTAACACTTATATCTTACAGTAGGGCGTGAATGCACAGTTGTATGGCTCAGAGGCAAAAGTATAACAACTGACAATGGATGAAAATGCCAGCCATGTTTTACTTGCAATTTAGTAACCACAGATTTCCATAAACTAATACCATATTCACACTCAGCATGAACAGGAAAAAAATAAATTTTCAGGTGATGTTATACACCATTGACATAAATAACAGTCAACAAGCATTAAAACAACAATGACGACTGTTACAATCTCAGAGTGCACAGATTATCTCCTGATAATCAAAATTGGAATGGTACATCCTGAGAATTCAAATGTACACTTATAGATACTTCCATTTAAAGGCTTTTGTATAAACCTACAAGAACCACGAAAATAAAAATCCATATTTCTATATTAGTAACATTATAATGAAAGGGGGGCATCACAAAATGGATCTCTCTGAAATAACAAGATCCAAACAATAATTAAAAGTATGTTTTCTTCACAACAAAGTATTTTTGGAACTTTTTTGTGCCAGCATAGATCAGAGAACAGAAAAGAGAAAGCAGAGTCGTGATAATTCCTATCAGATAATGTTACAAGGAACAAAGGAACTGGTTATTTTCTCATATTGTACATTGAGAAACAAACAAAACAAATTTGGTAAATACTTTATCACAATATAGAGATGCCCTTAAACATTGGATCACCTGTGACAAAAGTATTACAAACAAAATAATTACCTAATGTGGAATGTTTGATTTCTGGTCCAAAGGTTGGCTGCAATTAACTTACCGCCTTTATCAAGGAGTTGCCTAGTATTCATTGAGATAAAAACAAATGAAGCAAACGACACAAAGTGTGTTAAATTATCAGTTTCATTGTTTAAAGTGATACGATATAGAAAGACCCAAATTATATCGTGTCTTTTACTACTTCAGGACTCAATTAGTTACTTTTGAAGTGTATAAGCCTGACATATTGGTGTTGCAATGTTTTTTCATAAATTGCACTTACTTTCTTTTTCATATTTCATTAGCCCCAGAAACCATTGCAAATTATGAAATAATCCTCCTGTGTTATTGGAATTAAGAAATGAGGATTCTGACTTGTGTACATTTAAGGGGTGTCACAGAAGTATTTATAAGGCAGGTATTTGACAGGACAGTGACATTTGGCTTCATAGGAGCAATGAAAGGGTGTTACTTACATGCATGGCAAGAATGCTGCGGGGGACTAACTCACGGTAGTGCCGGATGGTAAAGTGCCATGTCTTTATTCTCATCAGGTCATCAAATGTAAACTCCAGAATTAACCTCCCTTCGGTACAAACCTATTAGATTGAGATCAGGGATTTAAAAGGAAGGAAATAAGGAGTTAAGAATAAGAAAATTGTACAAATAAGCACTTTTCTTGCAAAATAAAGGAATTTTAAATCTAACATTTAACCTTAAAATCAAACTGTATGGGTTCTCTCACCACACTTTGACCTATTTATATGTATTTTGCAGCTTTTCTCTTTCATCTTGCTTCTTAAAAAAATTTTTGATATTAGAGAGTTGCAATTAAAGAAACATTTGCTGTTTTGTTCAATTTCTGTTACGGTTCTCTGAGCTGTGACATTTTATTGCCATAGCAACAGGAGCCAGCTGATTAGTTGGCATGGCAACCAGAAAGATGTAATTCCAGCAGACGTGTTATAATCAATGCTCCCAGCACAGATGGTCTCTGGAGGATCAACAAGAAAGAGTCTCGCAAGCATTTGGCACATTGCATGCCTTTACTACACAGCACAAGAAAACTTGGCAGTTTTTCATTTAAGAATCTCAGTTTTTAACACTTACTACCAAAACATTATTTTTTTGAGACAATTTATGCTCAACAGTGGAAATATATTCTTACTTCAGGTATCAAGTATTGTCATAAAGTTATGGGTTGTACAAAGTACCATCAAATGCAAAATAAATCTCCCTCTGCTTTGATACAATATGATCTCTTGGTTCCAAACTTAAGAGAGTTCACCTAGTACACTAATTGATAATTTCAAATTCCTATCATAAAACTTTGTGGAGTCTCTGTGATTCCCAATTTCGTGTTAACCAGGAACAGTTTTACACTTGGATTAAGAATATCTGAGAAATATAGTAGAATGGCTTGAAATCCACAAAGGAACTTCTTATTTCAGAATTGGAAGACTTATTTCTCATCAACCTGGACTGGATTCAAACAGGGCTGCAAGATAAGTAAGGACACTGCTCTAATTCTACTCCCTAATTTTTTGTCCCCCTTTCGAACTAAAGAACCAATCAATGAGGGTTCAGCAGATTTATTTTTGCAGATGTTCAACGTTCCTTCCCTGAAGAGGCTGGCTCCTTCTAGTACACAATTCCACAAGCAACCAACCATTCTTAGTACATCATGTGAGTGGCCCCTCTCTATGTGTGAACACTGAATATCAGTGCTAGCAAACTACTTAATTATGTATGGGCTCATATGTATACGCATATTTTCCAATCGTGAGAATTGCACATGGGAAATTCTTGATTCAGGGATTTGAGGCAAGTTTCTCTCACCACCAATAAGACAGTTAATTTTGAACAAATAGGGATTCAAAGCAGGGATCTTCTAATCTGTATAACTTGATACTGCTCTGGGCAGCACCTTTGTTCACATTCTTAATAGGGAAGCTTAAATTTAAATTGCTTTTATCTCTGAGTTCAATCATTTTCAATATAATAAAAATAAAAAATGAAATCTGGCATAAAGTGTGTACTGCAGTGTCTGCATTCATAAAAGTCTCCACGTGGTGGACTGACAACTGTTTTTGGTCGCCCGTCCCTCTGAAGAATCCAGCTTCAAAGGCTGTCAGTATGTCTTTTGAGAGCAGCCCAACATGAGCTGTCTGCTGACTGTCCTTTCAGGATTCACTTCAGTATCACTTTGCATTTCTCCAGCATTATAAACTGTGACTCTAGCAATGTAAAAAAGGAGAAAGGAATAATACACTGCACATCTGTAAACACTCCAGGCACATTGTCATACATATTAACTGTGAAAAAAGGTGAAATCCTTATTGCAACAAGATTCAAATGCAACAAGAGATCTGGACAATATCCAGGCTTGGGCTGACAAGTGGCAAGTGACATTCGCGCCACACAAATGCCAGGCTATGATCATCACCAGTAAGAGACAATCTAATCATTACCCCCTGACATTCAATGGTGTTACCATCACTGAATCCCCCATTATCAACATCCTGGGGTTACCATTGACCAGAAACTCAACTGGACTCACCACATAGACAGTGGCTACAAGAACAGGCTAGAAGCTAGGAATACTGCAGCAAGTAACTCACCTCCTGACTCCTCAAAGCCTGTCCACCATCTACAAGGCACAAATCAGGAGTGTGATGGAATACTCCCCACTTGCTTGGATGAGTGCAGCCCCAATAACACTCAAGAAGCTTGACATCATCCAGGACAAAACAGCCCGCTTGACTGACATTACATTCTGAAGCATCCACTCCCTCCACCACCGATGCTCAGTTGCAGCAGTGTGTACTATCTATAAGATGCACTGCAGAAGTTCACCAAAGATGCTCAGACAGCACCTTCCAAACCCACGACCACTTCCATCCAGAAGGATAAGGGCAGCAGATATATGGGAACACCACCACCTCCAAGTTCCCCTCCAAGCCACTCACCATCCTGACTTGGAAATATATCACTGTTCCTTCACTGTCGCTGGGTCAAAACCCTGAAATTCCCTCCCTAATGGCATTGTGGGTCAACCCACAGCAGGAGGACTGCAGCGGTTCAAGAAGGCAGCTCGGCACCACCTTTTCAAGGACAACTGGGAAGGGCAAGAAATACTGGCCAGCCAGCGACGCCCACATCCCACAAATGAATAGAAAAAAAAAATTCAAGACTGCTAAACTGAGAATTGAAACTCATTCAAACTGTGGATTAATTTATCTTGTGGAAAGGGAAGGACAATAGATGAATGGGAATGCCAAGACTGCCAAGGACTCCTCCAAACTGTACATCACCTTGGCTTAGAAATATATTGATGTTCCTTCATCATCACTGGGTCAAAACCCAATATCTCCCTACCTAACAGACATTAGTAGTATTTTCTTACACCTTTGCCTTATTGGATTTTAATGGTGCCCATTATTGTCTTCTCAAGGGCAATTATTGACAGCAATAAATTCTGGCATTGTCAGTGTTACCCATATCCCATGAACAAATGTTTTTACTCATCAACTTATATATCACTGTTGAGAAGTTTCAATGAGGGAATATGTGTTAGAAATAGCAAAGAAATTGACACAGATCCCAAAGACACTGTTTAAAAGATGAGTGATGGCTTTGGCAAGCAATCTACTGAAATGCTTTGTTGCATGGTTTGACAAGGGAAGCCTTGCAGACAATATTTAAAAAATGAAGTAGTGATTATTATACCGAACTAATTATCTGGTGTGAATTGTTCTGATTCCTAGTTTTTACTTTCTCAGTTTGTAACTAAAGCATAATTCATAAACACAGTTCGTCAACTGATAAGTGGAAACAACACTTTCTATACTTGCGAAAATCAGTTCCACAGATCATGTACTCCGCAGTGAGAGGCACACAACCAATTCCAATTGACTTGGCAAGTGCCATTTTGTACTATAGTGTATTGAGCAGGAATAATAAATAATTTAGATAGTACAGTTTCTCACCTAAAGATACAGAAGGGAAAGTCATCAATAATTGAAATATACAACAGCAGCGCCTTTGAAGCCACACGATCTTACAATTCCATTCCCGAAAAAATCTTTTTTTTAAATAACAGATTGATCCAAATTGTTACTTATAGTATCAGCAAAAACTGATTCTTACTGTCAATTTTCACAGCAAAGGAGAAACTTATGCCAAAAGGGCATTTGCTTTTCCTCTCTTGGAAGGACTGCTTTGTTAAACGTACATGTCCAACATTCCTTCAAACTTTTCTTCAAACAGTCATTAATTTTTTTAAATGATCCAGCATTTCTGAAAATGAAATTTCTCCAGAAGTGGTTCACAGAAATCACACCAAATTTAGGTGCACAACCAGATTTTAAAAACATTACATTGATTTCTATTTTCCAAAAGGGCAATGATAATTTATTTGATCAACAGGGTTGTGTGCAGTGTAAAGTGAGTTCACTATGGCAATAGCTCCCATGCTGTACTCAGACCAAAGGATTCCTGAATTTAACATGTTGAGTTATCTGACTTGCTTAAGCAATAATCATACCCGCAGTCTTCAAAAATTGTTAAATAATACGTTTTCCTCTCTTTAAACAAGGGATACTGAGGCAAGATGTCATCTCCCAACTTGTGTCCTCGCTGCAATCAGATTGCTCACACAGAGTAAGAATTTGTCACTTTCTGTTCCTTATCGTTTAACACCACATCATCCAAAAAGAATCCATTGCAGCCAATACATTTTTTTTTAATCAACCAACATTCATGCTATAATTCATGTTAGTGAAGAAAATATAGTTAGGCACAAAACCAAAGTTTTCTTGATTTCTGGAATATGCTGTATTTGATAATGATGTGAAAGCATCATAGCATTATTTTGCAATAATGTCAAAAGAATTATTATTTAAAATTCACAATTTTACCTTACATCAGCTTTAATCGGTGGGGTGCACAATCTAGCTGCTTAGCACAAAATAATATCCATCTAAGATGCTTTAAAATGTGCCAGGTTCAAAGTATGAACATGAATGATAGATATTGAACATTTTGAACGTAACCAATTTTTCTAGGCTCTAGGCTTTGGAGGTTAGCTGGCCTGACTTAATTTCCTTGATCATGTGCATGAAGCCAGAGAAAGTGGGTGAGGTCTTAAATGAATATTTCTCTTCTGAATTCACAAAAGTTAAAGACATTGTAGCTGGAAATTTCAGTCGGGGCGGTCAGTTTCCAGTTCATTTTAAGATTAATGAGAAGGATACATTAAAAATTTTAGTGGGTATATGGGTGACTAATTCCTCAGAACCTGTTGAACCCCAGGCTGCCATGGGAGGCCCCAGTGGAGATAGTTAATACTTCATTAGCCAGAGGTGAGGATGACTAGAGGCGGGCAGCAGGAATAGGCCAGGTAATTACAGACCAGTTAGTCTGACATTAGTGGTAGGGAAATTATTGGAATAAATTCTGAGGGACAGGATTAATCAATACCTGGAAAGGCAGGGATTCATCAATAATTTGTTGGAATACTGCCTAATTTCCTTGAGCTTTTTGAAAAAGGTGATTAAATATATTGATGAGAGTAATGCACTTGATGTGTTTTACATGGACTTCATTAAGGTCTTTGACAAGGTCCTACATGGAAGGCTAGTCCAAACGTTAGGAGCCCATGGGATCCAAGGCAAGTTGGCAAAATGCATCCAAAACTGGCTTACACACAGTTGGCCAACAGTGATGTTAGAGGGTTATTTTTTAATTGGAAGCCTGTGACCAGTGGTGAACCACAAGGATCAGTGCTGGAACCCTAATTATTTGTTACGTACATTCACATCCAAGTTGTTAGCGTAGAAGGTTTCATTAGGAAGTCTGCAGATGACATGGAAATTGTGTTATTGAGTGTGAGGAGGATGGTCTCAAGTTACAGTCTGATATTGATCAGCTGGTAAATTGGGCAGAACAATGGCAGATGGAATTTAATTGCCGTAAACGTGAGATTATGCATTTTGGATCCCTGAAGGTGTCAGCACAAGTAGGCAGGGTGGTGAAGAAGACATATGGGATGCTCAACTTCATTAACTGGGTACATAGAATATAGGAGCAACGAAGTCTTGTTACCATTTTTTAGAACATTGGTTAGGTCAGAGATGGTATACTGTATGCACTTCTGGTCCCAACATTATTGGAAGGATGTGATTGCACTGGAGAGGGTGCGGAGGAGATTCACCAGGATGTTGCCTGGGATGAAAAGTCTCAGTTATGAGGAGGCTGGGATTTTTTTCCTTGGGGGGAAAACAGGACACTAAGGAAGGATCTGACTGAGGTATGCAAAATTATGAGAGGCAAAGGCAGAGCAGTTTGTGAGAAGCTTTTCCCTATGGCGGTGGTGCCCAAGACCAAAGGGCACTAATTTAAGGTGAGCAGGAGTAAGTTATTTAGACGAGAGCTGAGAAAAAACATTTCACCAAGTGGGTAGCAGAAATGAGGAATGCGCTGTCTGAGAGGGTGGTGGAGGCATGTACTTCTGCAACATTTAAGAAGCCTCTGGATGAGCACATGAAATGCGAGGGCATAGTAGGCTATTGACAAAGTGAAGGTAACTGGGATTAGTGATCGGTGTTTGTCAGTGGGAATAAACATGGTGGGCAGAAGGGCCTGTTTCTATGCTGTATGACTCTATGTGGATGTGGACAGAGCTGATCAAGGCATGAGAAAAGTCAGAGGTAACATTTTTAAAAAAAAAATAGTATAATGTGAAACCTAATTAAACCACTCGAGATATAAAGGAGTGGATGAATCTCGGGGGGAAATAACATTCAAGTGTTCAGGATACATAAGGGAACAGCGAATTTTAACCCCAATAATATATTCAAAGTTGCCACAAACTCTAGAGCCAGGGGCACATCTTTAGCTTCGAAAAAGGAAAGCACCCAGAGAATTAAAGATTTAATTAATTTATGCACAGTAGTGAATATGCAAAATGAAGTTTCTAAATTGGAATCAGAGCAGAAAGTGTGGAAAATGTTAAGGGAGAATTGGATTGGTGTTTAAAGGCATTAGTGATGAAATAGCATTCAGTCTTTTGCCACTGAGCAGAGAGACTGTAGATATTTTTTCAGTCATGTACTTCACTGTGTGTAAGAATCCACGACTTACCTTCCTAGAATTTAGTTTAACTTTTTCATATATATTTGTTTTGCAAGTACCAGCCCCTCAGAGCAGAAAAAAATTGATGTAATACAAACCATTGCTGGAATTTTCCACATGAATAAGTTGAAAATAAGTTGACTGAGGCAACCATATCCCTCTCCCCATGAATTTCACAATGACCTGTTAAACAGGAAGAGCAGAGGACTGGGGATAAGTCTCCCCTCAAACAGTTTTGTTTGGAAACAAAAGCATTTCTGAGATGATGAGGAATTTCTTCTCTCAGATGGTTGAGAGTCTTTCGAACTCCTTGCCACAGAGAGATGTGGGGGCAACATCCTTGTGTATATTGAAGGCTGAGAAAGATAGATGATCGATCAGTATGGGAATAAAGGATTATGGGGAAAGGACAGGAAAGTGGACACGAGGTATGTTGGATCAGCTGAGATCCAATTGAATGGTGGAGCAGGCTTGAGGGGTCCAATGACCTACATCTGTTCCTATTTCTTATGGTCTTATTTTGTGCTCCTACTAAGAACTGTGAAGTTGAATTTTCACCTTTCTACACAAATGGCTTTCCGAGGGGTAATTACACTCACAATTATGCCAGTTTTCCAAAGTAAAGTTATAGTTCAGGTATCCATTCAAACACACTTGGCATAATCAAAATTATAACATCTTTCAGGAGCCAGGGCATTCAGCAGTGTTTTAGAAGTTAACTTTATTTTAAAAACACTTTTGCATTAAAAAATAAATAATACCTTTCATGGTTGTAACCTGGTGCAGTTTTATTAACACAGCTGAAAATGTGTGTGCTACAAAAAAATAGACTCTTCAAGAAGTCATTCTGCATGTAACCACAATTTAAATAAATTAAAATTACCTAAAATAATTATGCTGAATCTTATTCTCATTTCAAGCGTGTACAGTTGTCATTTCCTTTAAAAAGGTGTCATTAGTGGCAATGTGCTGAAAATCTAGCTTAATTTTAAAGCATCTCTTCAAAAGGCTGAAAACGGGTAAACTTTGTAGAAACATACAATGATGATCAATTTGATCCGGGGCATGAAGCACCTTGTTGGAGGGGCTAGCAGCCACTGCAATGTTCTTAAACCAGCACAGAAGAATGCAGAAACTCAGTTCGTGTGCATGTAGTAGGAACTGCAGATGCTGGAGAATCTGAGGCTCTAGCCTTCCTGCTCCTCTGATGCTGCTTGTCCTACTGTGTTCATCCAGCTCTACACCTTGTTATCTCGTGTGAATGTAGCTTCTGTTTGAAATGCATTGATCTTTTTGGCTAGTTTGGCTAATTTTGGATGAATTAGAAATCTCCACAGCCATGTCAGTGTCTTATAAATTCCCTTTGATGCTGCCGTTGAAAAGTGACATGGATTATCTTGATGTAGGTAAGTGTGTGATCTCCCGACATGCCAAGTTAGTACTGGACATAACAAATCCTACATAATATTCTGGAATGGTTAATGTGTTCATAACTCATTATTCTCAATATAATAACTTGTTTTTCCTAATTCTACCTCACATTTTTCTTCTTTTTCTTACCTTTGTAAACATGGGTTTGCCATGCTGGGTGACCATAGTACACTGATCACAGTCTAAGGTGATGGATGAATTGTGGTAGGACTCCTTCGAGTGTTTGAGGACATAGTAAAGGTCTGTCACTCCCCCCTCAAAGATTGTACTGAAATATCGAGGAATGAGGGTTCTTCCAATAGCTGTACAAGATAAAATCACAATGAGAAAAGAATGAGATAAGTATGGAATACTCAGTCCTCCAGTTCATAGCAGATTTTTAAAATAAACCAATCATGTTTAAAAAAATGTCTAAGTCACAGTGGCATATTATACATAGCTGCATAAAATAAAACCTTTCAGCGAAAGCAATGCAAAGTCACCTCAGTTTCAAAGCATTAAGAAAAAATACATGATCATCTAACATTTGCCTTTCATCTTGCAATACAAAGTTGAACAGCAGGTTTGGTCAAAGTCATATTTCGTGCCAAGTGCATGCCCATCCGAATCCCAATAATACAGTTACTGTTCTGAGCATTCTTCTAAAACCCAATTTTTAAAATTATACATTCCAATGAGGAGCCATTATCAGACTCAAAACATTAACTTTTATTTCTCTCCACAGGTAACTCCAGTCCAGTTTGGTCGTGTTTTTATTTAAAAGTTCACTGTTTTCCATTTCTACTATTCAATGAAAGGTTTATCCAATAACAATTTCACAATCATCACCATTTTGGTGCTAACATTCTTTGTAAAAAGTCAGATTTAACGGTAAGAAAGAGATGTTTTCCCATGTTGTGTTAGGCATGGTGTAAAACTGGGTCAACTCAGACGAAGATATGACTGGAAATAACATGTTCTTCTGTTTTACAACAACACTGCAATGATTTATATTTCTGACTGGAGTTTGTTACTATTGAATGGTTCACAGTATGAAAGGAGTTCCAGAGAATATCTTACCATTCCTTATGTTTTACAGCAAAAGTGTCATACAGGTCACCTATGGCTCATGGGTCTTTCACACTTATAAACGATTATTAACAATGAAAGACCATATGTATATGATCACATCAACACAATGGTCCCCTGTAGTAAAGTTGGAACGAGATGCAAGTTTTGGTTACTGAAGCTTTTGTCCTTTCTTTTGAATTCAGAGACGTGTACAACATGTTTGTTCAAGAATGATTCACTGTCAGGATCATCATCTTTGCCATGTCAGCCTGTCTTGCTATGGAATAACGATGAGGCTACATAAAGTTGGCAACTCTTGCCTGTTAACTATTGACCTCTGGACTTCAGGGATGCTAATTTCTTTTGATGTAAAACCTCCTTTCCAACACCTTGCACTACTATTTCTGCTTAGCTCAATTTCAGCTCCTCCATATCACTTACTACCCTTATTTCTTCCTTGTCTCAGACTCTGTGTTTTGCACATCTGCAGGGATCTTCATCCTCAGCTATTCAATTATGAAACATAGAACAGTATGGATGAGTCAGCCTTTGTAGGGAGTCTATGTGGAAATGTTCTTGGATTAATCTTTTGCTATGATAGTTTGAATCTGGCACCGACTCAGTGAGATTTCCAGAGATCCATCAGCAGAGATGCCATCAAGCAGGGCAAACAGCTAATCACACTGAAGGATTCTCACAGACAGTGAACTCAGAAATAAATGAAATGATTATCTTTAGTAACATTCTACTTGAGATCAATCAGACATGAGATTAAGATAGACTCTGAAACATCAGACAGAAAACATTTTTAGAAATTAATATTCTCTCATCTTTAATCATAATGGAGAAATTTGCCATCTTGTAAACATAAAATTAGTTTCTCTGCGGTGGTGTGCATTTTTTCCCCACAGTATTCATGAAATTAGTAAAGCATTAAAAAAGTTGCATCTCATTCAACAAAATACAACTTTTAAAAGCAGTTTTACACTGACACAAATAGGGAAAAATGTGAATGTCCCTGTTAGTTCAGTGATTTCTATTTGACCTTGTACTACAGGGATGCTAACAGCACACACCATGGAGAACTGCAGAATGAATGTCCACAAATTCTTATTTTCCATGTTCAACTGCACACATGCAGACTCCAGAGTTTCTGTCAGTTTCAAAAGGATAATAATGATGAACACTGACCGTTTCACCGTTAGCACTATTGCAAAATATTTTCAAATAAAATTTTTAAAAATCATTCCTAGGATGTGGATGTTGCTGGCTAGGTCATCATTTATTGTTTATCTCTGGTTGCCCTTGAGAAGGTAGAGGTGAGCTACATTCTTGAATTGCTGAAGTCCATGTGCTGTAGGTAGACTCACAATGCCATTAAGTAGGGAGTTCCAGAATTTTAACCCAGTGACACTGGAACGCTGAAGGAATTGTGATGTATTTCCAAGTAAGAACTGTGAGTTGTGAATTAAAGAGCTGGCATTCCCATGGATCTGCAACCTTTGCCCTTCTAGATAGCAGTAGCTGCAGTTTTGGCAGGTTTTTTGTAGGGAGACTGGCGAATTTCTACAGTGCATTTTGTTGATGGTATGTCTTACTGCTACTGTGCATCAGTGGTGCAGGGAATGGATGTTTGTGGATGAAGGGTCAATCAAGCAGAATGTTTTGTCCTGGATGTTTTATTCATTAATGGGATGAGGGCATCGCTGGCTAGGCAGCATTTATTGCCCATCCCTAAACGTCCAGAGTGCAGTTAAAAGTCAACCACATTGCTGTGGGTCAGGAGTCACATGTAGACCAGACTGGGTAAGAATGGCAGTTTCCTTCCCTAAAAGGAATTAGTGAACCAGATGGGTTTTTCCCAACAATTGACAATGGATTCACAGTCATCATTAGATTCTTAATTCCAGATATTTTTAGATTGAATTTAAATTCCACCATCTGCCGTGGAAGGATTCGAACCCAGGTCCCCAGAACGTTATCTGGGTCTCTGGATTAACAGTCCAGCAATAATACCATTCAGCCATCGCCTCCCCTGTCAAACATCTTAAGTGTTGTTGGATCTGCACTCATCCAGGGAAATGAGAAGTATGCCATCACACTCCTGATTTGCGCTTTGTAGATAGTGGTCAGCTTCTGGGGAGTTAGTTGGTGAGTTACTCACTGCAAGGCGCCTAGCCTCTGACCTACTGTTGTGGCCACAGTACTTATTTGGCAAGTCCGGTTCAGGTTTTGGTCAATGGTAACCCCCAGAATGTTGATAGTAGGGAATTCAGTGATGGTAACACCATTGAATGTCAAGGTGTGATGATTAGATTCTCTCTGGTCGTAAATGGCTGTTTTCTAGCCATTTGTGATGCAAATGTTACATGCCCAACCTGGATTTTGTGCAGGTCCTGTATTTGGACACGGACTGTTTCAATATCTAAGGAATTGCAAATGGAATTGAAATTGAGAAGCATCAGTGAACATGTCCACTTCTGACTTTATGATGGAGGGAAGATGGTTGGGCTTAGGGCACCTCCCTGAGGAACTCCTGCAAATATATCCTGGAGCTGAGGTGACTGACTTCCAACAACCACAACCATCTTCCTATGTGCCAAGTATGACTCCAACCAGAGGAGAGTTTGCTCTCCTAACACCCAATGATTCCAGTTTTGCTAGGGTTCCTCTGTGCCACACTCAGTCAAATGCAGCCTCTTGTATCACCTCTGGAATTCAGCTCTTTTGTCCATGTTTGAACTAAGGCTGTAATGAGATCAGGAGTTGAGTGGCCCTGGTGGAACCCAAACAGGTCATCACTTACTGTCGCTGAGTAGGTGCTGCTTGATTGCACTGTTAACGACACCTTCCATCACATTACTGATGATCAAGAGTAGATTGTCAAAGTGGGTCACTGGCCGAGCAGAATTTGTCAGCATTTTGTGTACAGGACATACCCTGGCAATTTTTCACATTGCTTGGTAGACTACAGTGTTGTAACTACTGGAACAGCTTGGCTATGGGAGCAGCAAGTTCTGGAGCACAAGTTCTCTTTCCTATTGCCAGAATGTTGTCAGGGCCCATAGCCTTTGCAGTATCCAGGGCCTCCAGCTGTTTATTAATATCACATTGACTGAGTGATTCAAATTGGCTGAAATTGGAATCTGTGATGCTGGACACCTCTGGAGGAGGCTGAGCTGAAACTTCTCGCTGAAGATTCTTGCAAACGTTTCAGTCTTGTCTTATGCACTGATGTGTTGGGCTCCCCTAGCTTTGAGGATTCGGATATTTGTGGAGCCTCCTCCTCCAGAGGGTCATTTGATTGTTCACCACCATTCACAACAGGATGTGGCAGGTATGTAGAACTTAGATCTGCTTCACTGGTTTCAGAAACACTTAGCTCTGCCTATCACTTGCTGCTTATGCTGTTTGGCACACAAGTAGTTCTGTTCCTTTGGAGATTCACCAGGATGACTATTCATTTTTAGATATGTCTGGTGCTGCTGCTAGCATCCCCTCCTCCACTCTCCCTTGAATCCACACAGATCCCCAGACTTGAAGATAATGGTACAGTGGGGTATATGCCGAGCAATGAGGTTGCAAATGGTGTTGGAGTATGATTCTGCTTTCTAAAAATTATTCTATTTTTAAAAATGTGAAAGCTTAATAAAAATAAAACCTATTCCCAACAGAAAGATGATAAAAACTCAATTATTCTTTCTGAGGCATTGGTAAGTTAAATCCAGGCAGAGGTTCACTTGCTGTCTGGTTTTGACCTTACAATAAATATACGTCTCCACCTCCTCCACATAGGGTTACATTAGAAACTGCCTGATTTTAGAAAGCAGCCTCACATTTAGTGCAAGCGTAATGTATATAAATAAGCCTGAAGTAGATCAAGGAGTAGATGAGTGTTGCAAATTTCATTTTATTGGTAACTGCTTAACATTTTGTTTCTCACAAGACAACTGGATTCATGTAACCATCCAATCAAAGAGCCCCCTGCCAAGATGCGGCCTCTGTAACAGTGGGAGAACAACAATTCTCTCAGGTTTTCTCGCCATTGGCATGTCGTCAGTGAGTATTCACCAAACTGAGGCAAAGTGCTGTGATTTTTCTTCTTCCAGTGTTGAGAAGTTGGGTAGAGTATTTGTGGGCTGGAAGGCAGGACGTTAGAATTTGGTGTTTGTAAAATGCTAGCGGGGAAAGCAGTGCATGGTCCCTTTAAAAAATGATGTGCTTTTTCTATGCTTACAGATTCAAAAAGTAT